GCTGAATAAAAAGTCTCAAGTAAATAAGACTCTTATTAATCTCAAGTAAATAGCCAAGCAGTTCCGGTCCTCATCTCTCCTCATCTCTATCAAGCAGAAATCAATTAGGATTAGTATTTGAATCAACCATAACATTGTATTAGGTAATTGATGATGACTCAAATCCAAGAGTAATTGCTCTTAATTACCAACTAATTAAATTAAATTACCTCCTCTACGTACGGCCTATATATCAAGGTTCCGTTAATTAATTACTAGTTAAGGTTCAACTAATTACAAAACTAGTACCTCGGTGCACATGCATGATGGGTGCATGAGCATAGAAAGAGAGTCATGACTGAATTGTGTAAATAACAAGTAGATGTAGTACTTGTCCAAGAACAAACATATATAGCTTTGAGCAATATTATTGGTAATTAAGGTCACTAATAGGAGGGCATGACCTGAAATTATGAAATGTTGGGTAACGGTGCGGATAACGCCACATTGAGGATCCGTATCAAACCGGCCCAACGCGTGAGAGGGACAGCTCCCGGGCCTAAACTGATAAAATAAATGCATGATAAATAAACTAAGGATGGGCATGCCACGTACAACATCAGATTTGATAAATAAATGCATGATAAATAAATTAGACGTACGGGCATGCCACAACATCAGATTTATACAGTACTTCCATGATATTACAAAGCAGAAGGAAACCTGTCCGTAGAGCTAGCCGACTAATTAATTAACATTGCAGTCCCATATTCACTCACAAACATACAATAAAGTCCACCACATAACATAAGAAGCATACACAGACTAGGTACGCTGAGATGAACAAACCGAAGACAGGCAATTACTAGTATGATATGGTCCTCCGTCCGGCCGTATACCTCCCCTTCAAACAAAAACCCTAGGCACGGATTCGGCCGGAGGGAGGTCGACTTCTCTTATCTCAGTCTTCAGCCCCTTCCCCGCCCCGTTCGCCAATGGGTGGATCCCATGATCGGGTCCCATCATATAAGCCCGGTGCTCTCTCTCCTTCTCAAAAGTAACACCATACTTCTTCTCCACATCTAATTGCAGGCCACCAATTGCAAATAGATCAGGTTAGTGATCAATCTAAGAAAAAAATTTGATGCTATGTGTGCATGACACCGTACAAATTTGCGCGAAAAAATTTGCATGTTATGTTACCCTAATTAAGTTGGGCAAATCCAGAGAAAGATTTTCTACAAAAATAAATGACGTGGGATAAATTTTTATAATCATGAAATATATATTTATACATTTTGAAGATATAAATACTATTTATGTATTTTAAACTTACTATTATTGATTGATAATTGCTTACAAGAATGTTCTTTACTATTAAATAACTTTTGGTTAGACTATAAGATATTGACAATTAACAATTATTATTATAATAATGGTCTAATGATGGTGATAACCATAATAGGAAAGAAGTAAAGAAAAAAAAATATAAAAAATAAAAAATAACAAAATAAATATGAGTTTTAGTTTTTTACCACCTAGTTCCAAGCTAAAACTTGGAATAATTTGAGAGACTAGAACTCTCATTTTTGTATAGAGAAATAAAAAAAGGGGATAATTTTATACCATTATCCCAATTCTAGTTTTGTTAGAGTTCTACTTGACTAACACTGTAAAATTTTATTCTAGTTTTAGTTCTATATGACTAACACCTTAAAATTTTATCCCACAGATTATCTTAGTTCTAATTTTAAGTTCTAGGTGACTAACCCCCTATAAATAACAATATGTGATTATAGATATGGTACTCTCAATATCCATATCCAAAATAAATGCTTACACAGTTGCACATGGTTTGACCAGTGGATTAATGGGATTAAGGATAAGTTTGAGGATCCATAGATCTAATCAATATATATATCTTGGCTTTTGAGGCTTGATTTTGAGGCTTGGTTTGGTAGAGGGTTAAGTGATGTGATGGACAAAAGGACTAAATTTGCCCTTGGTAGAGGATTTCTAGAACGGGACGTAAAGTGAGGTGAGGCTAGGGACAAATTAAAATGAACAAGAGACCAGGAGGGAGAAGAATCCCTACAAATTAGAGGGATTCAAGAGGAGAGAGAAAAAGAACTACAAATTGGTGTATATTTTTCTCCCCTCACATCCAACCAAATAAGAAGCACCATCTTTGCACCTCATCTCAGCATACCTTACTTCTACATACTCCCTTCAAAACCATACCTTTCCTATTCATACCCCCTATCCTTTGCCCTCGTTCTTCCGGAATCTGAAAGATCCTTTTTATCAAACCATGTCAAATACAAAATATTTAATGGGTTTACGTTATCATGTAAACTTTATTTTATTCAATCTTATTTGTTTTTCCCATATCCATTTTGTATTTGTATAAATTCAATTCGCTTGTTTGATCTGTATTATTGTATCGATATGAGTTTTCGTACTAAGACATTTATGTTTGTATTCACATTGATTGGTACGCGAATATGGATTTGATAATTAAGTATCATATGGATCGCATCAGTATCCTAATGATTTGTACCCCTATAGATATGAATCCTATTGGTTTGCACCCTTATGTCCATACCCTAAAAGTTTAGGGAGGTTTTTTGAAATTTACTTATAATTTATTCTATGACGCTAACAATACCTTTGGCTCTATGACCTATTTTTTAGGTTATCAGTTAAGTTAGATAAATAGATACTTATCGTCCGTCTTATATCCCTTGTATCCGAAAATTCGAAATTCTGCGAAATTTACCCTACTCATAATTTATTAATCTTTAATATTAGCAATACCTTTGGCCATGTGATCATGCAACTGCCCATCCCTAGTAAGTGCCATCATAAGTTGCGCGGGCCCAATTGGCAGAGCATCACCGCGGTCGACTTGCCAAAAATGGAAGGTCTTCCCGTAAGTCTTGCATACCTTCTCCATATCCCTCCTCTCCACGGCCCCGGGAACCCCAGGGAGGAACAAAACCCCGCTCTTGACCTCGTACTCGTGAGAATGCCACAACGGCTTCTCGTCGTCCGGGAGAGTCATGAAGAGGTTCTCGGAGATGAGGTACTCGATGCCGATGAGCTTGGCATCGGTCTCAGGGCCGTCGTAGATGAGGCACTGTCGCATCTCCTCGTTCTGGTGGGAGCAGTAGTGGTGGGCTTCGACTTGGCGGGTCATGTCATGGGAGTAGAAGTGGAACCTGATGAGATATTATGAGGCACCATGCCTTAGTAGAGGATTTCCAATCCGTTCGTTGGATATTGCAAATGTTAGAAAAATTATAAAGGTGACAGAAATTCTGAGGCGTGAAACACTTTCCTTAAAGAAATATTTGCCTCATTTGATATTCAAAGTTGCTACGGGTTAATGCAAATTTTCTTCTCAGGATACAATGATACAAGAGAAAATGAACATTCCAACAAGCAAATCTGAAATTTTCTATTAATTCGTTGCGAAACAAGTTTGTAGTATTGCAAATGTTTTTGACAGAAAAGTTTTGAAAAAGAAGTGAAGTTAAAGATATCTAAAATTATAAACTATTTATATGTTTGAAAAATTGCTTTCAACAGTCATAACCCCTAGACTAAAATTCAAAATAATATTAAATTAATATTTTCAAAATATATATATATATATTAAAAGGCTAGAATTTTTAAGTGGCAGCAGCAAGCGTGCTAAGTACATCGAAATCACGCTATCCGCACGCGGATTTAGAAGCCTACACTTTGATCCATTTATCCCAATAATCATTAAATGCTTTTAAACCTCTAAAAAATGCTCAAATATCTGACGTGAGACTATCTTATTTTTACAAACAAATACTAACAGCAATTACATTAATTTAGTACGTACAGAACTTACGCGCAGAGGTGTTGGTGGATCTTGTTGATCGGGTAGAAGGTCTGGATGGTGCCGG